TATACTTTATTATTTTAGAGCAGTTTTAGGTTTCCAGAAAATTTGAGCGGAAAGTACAGAGAGTTCCCATCTACCCTCTCTCTTTCCCCTTCTGTGTCCCACGCCTGACAGGTTCCCCTACTATTAACATCTCGCATTAGTGGGGTACATTTGTTACAATTGAATCAATATTATTAGATCATTATTAACTGAAGTCCATAGTTAAGTTAGGATTCAGTCAGTGTTGTACAAGTTTATAAATTTTGACAAATGCATAATGTTACGTATGTCATTACAGTATTATTCAGAATAGGTGCACTGCCCCCAAATCCCTTGGGCTCCACCTGTTCAAGTATACTCTTTTTAAAGTAGTCTAAACTCTGCTTAAAATGCACCCTAAGCTATTAACCCTATTAATGCACATTTTAGTTGCTTCCCGGAAATTGATTGGTACCCCAGAAAGGTCTTACTGAGTGAATACTCATTGTTATTTAGGATACTGGCCCATGATTGATCTTTGGTACTATATTGATTTATTCAACCCCCACATCCAGATGAAGAACATCTTATCACATCTTATAACTGGGGTGGTTCTAATTGTAGTCCCCCCTTACCTGCGGGTTCACTTTCCACGGTTTCAGTTACCCGTGGTCTGGGAGCAGATGATCCTCCTCCTGACAAATCGTCAGGAGGTCCATAGTAGCCTAACACTAGGTCACAATGCCTACATCATTCCCCTCACTGCATCTCCTCACGGGGGCATTTTCTCATCTCATATCGTCGTATGAAGAATGGTGAGTACAGGACAATAAGGTATTTTTAGAGAAAGACAACATTCACATAACTTTTATTACAGTACTTTGTTAAGTTGTCTATTTTATTATTATTTTTAATCTCTTACTATGCCTAATTTACAAATTAAACTTTATCATGGGTATGTATATATAGGAAAAAACATAGTATGTAGGGTTTTTGTACTATCTACGGTTTCAGATATCCACTGGGGGTCTGGGAGTGTATCCCCTGTGGATAAGGGGGTGACTATTGTATAGTTAAAATTACTCTTGTCAGTTCCTTGAAGGGTGCCTGGGTGGTTCAGTGGGTAGGTGGCCGACTCCTGATTTCAGCTCAGACCATGATCTCAGGGTCCTGGGATCTGGCCCCGTGTCAGGCTCCACCCTGAGCAGGAAGTCTGCTTGAGATCTCTACCCCCTTCTCTAAAATAAATTAATAACTCTTAAAAAGAAAAGAAAAGAAAAAAAATTCCTTGAAAGGATGACATGTCAAAGACCAGAGTTTATCTTTCAATAAATTCAACACAGGGAGTAATTTTCTTCTGTGGAAACACGTAGCTGTTTCTTTAGTTAGGCTCTAACATGTAAGTTGCTGGTGTTTACCAAGCATGTAATAAATGCTAGAAAAATCTCAGGGTTGTGAGATGCTGGTGCTTTGAGGACACAGGAACTAAAGCCTTGTTAAAGGGCCACAACTTCAAACCTCCCATTTATTCTCAACCACGAGCTCATTGAATAGAATGATGGATAAAATCTCTCCCTTACTTTTGTCCCCTCTCCTCTCTCTTTTGCTTCTACATACTAGGTGTGCAGTATATACTCAGTACGTACTTGCTAAAAGAATAAATGAAGTTATAGTGAATAGCAGATTCTACTCTAGTGAGGTCTTGATTGCCACAAAATCAACTGTAACCCAAAGAGGTAACTGAGTGCTAGGCTAAGTTCCTGGAACATAGCGTATGGTTCACATGGACCCAGAAGATAATAATATATATGTAATTGGTGGTGATGATGAATAACAAAAAGTGTTGTCCTTAGCCTATCATTTTAGAATATATACATTGTATTTGCCCTTCATAAAAAACTCATAAGCTAACTTCTTTGAAAAAAGAAATGGGATTTGAAGGACAGAGCATAAAAGAAATTATTAAGAAAAATAAATATCATTACTGGGAGTTGACAGTTGACCTTTAATATGAATAAATTGGATTGTGGTATATTTTGGTTTTCAGGAAGTCCAAACCTGTTTTCCAAGATTGTCAATGTGGTTAAGTCATACTGTTTAGATTTCAAATGAATAGAGATATTTACCCTTACATAAGAACAGGAGCCATGTGACTTTCTATTTCCTATAGTAATTTGTAAAGCTGGATCTTTCACCTTTAGGAAGGGCCGCAACCTTCACTTTGAAATGTGATGTTGACAGGTACAAATCATAGTGTCTCCAAGCTAGGTAACACTCAACTCTCTGTTCTTACTGAAAGACAGTAAGCGTATGTACAGTTTGCTCAGTGGGTTCACCTGATTGCCTTGTAGCACGGTCAGGAAACGTGAGGGTAAAGCCAAAAGACAAAAGTTCTGTAGACCTAGAAGGAGAACCGCTTACACCAAGCCTGATCTGATGACAGGAGTGAGCAATTTCTAATACAGCACAGGACAATGTGGGTCAAATAAAACCTATCTGCAGGCCATGCTTGGTTCCCCAGATTCATCTGTGACATTGATCTGTGAGTGTTGAATGAATGCTTTGGGAGGAGATTCACCTTAGGTTGTGTTTGATCCTCCAGTTGGGGGTTCATCTCTTCCAGTGCGAATCGCTGGGGCAAACCCCAGGGAAACTAATGTGAAAATGCATGAATGATGGCTCCTGAAATTCATTGGTTCAGTGTTTTCATTTGTAACTAGCAGGTGAGGGTGAAGGGGAGCTATGCCTTGCCAAAATGAAAAGGTGCGTGTTGGCTCTTTGGGACACTGTTCTGAGAGTCTGTCAAGGAAGCAGGTTATGGTCTTATCCTTTAAGGCCAAGCAGACTGGGTCTGCCTTCTGGCTTCCCTACACAGTGGCTATGAGACATTGAGCAAGTGGCTTAGCCTCTGGAAACCACTCTTGCCTGTAAAGCATGCATAATAATAGTACCTTCCACATGGAAAAAGTTGTGATGAGACCTATGAGGTAAATAATGACTTAAGAAGTGTGTTGCATGGGGTCACCTGAGTTGCTTAGTCATTTAAGCATCCAACTCTTGATTTTGGCTCAGGTCATGATCTCAGGGTCATGAGATCGAGTCCTGCATTGGGCTCTGCACTCAGTGGGGAGTCTGCTTGAGATTCTCCCTCTCCCTCTGCCCCTCCTCCTCCTCTCCTCTCTCTCTCTCTCAAATAAATAAATAAATCTAAAAAAAAAAAAAAGTGTGTTGCAGGATGCCTGGCTCTCAACAAAGGATAGGTCATGGTAAAAATATGAAACAATGGACAGTAAGAGGAAAAGAATTACCAATGTGCTCTTAGATGGATTCCAGTTTGGTCAGGATTTTGAGTAGCTCTTTATATACTTATCCGAAGCTCTGATAGACCCCAGAAAGTCATGTCTGTTTTCTCACAGACTACCTTCTTAAATACTTGGGGCAGTTTTTGAGAGTATTTTCTCTCATACTGTGTAGGCCAGCTATGACTGGGTTATATTACCTGTTCTTCCTTCTGTTAAGTTCTATAAAGACCACACCCCTCTCTCTCTCTCTCTCTTTTTTTTTTTTAATTTTTAAGTAAGCTCTATATACCCAACATGGGGCTCGAACTCACATCCCCAAGATCAAGAGTCATATGTTCTACCGACTAAGCCAGCCAGGCACTCCCACACCCCTCTCTTTTGACAACTAGAATTTTGCCATTTTATAATGAGATAATAGCCAACCTTACACGAGGTACGTTTTTAGTTTACTTGATGCAATTTGAGCAATAGCGTGGGTTTCATTAGAAACACATTTTCAAGTCATCTTCTATTCAGGTGATTTCTACAGTTGGCCAACTTGATTGTTTTATTTCAGAGTGTGGTAAGGAAATAACCAACAAGTAATAGAAAAGTCTATATGAACTTTTTAAAAAAGATTTTATTTATTTGGGGTGCCTGGGTGGTTCAGTCGGTTAAGCCTCTGTCTTTGGCTCAAGTCATGGTCTCAGGGTCCTGGGATCAAGCCCAGTGTCGGGCTCCCTGCTCGCAGGGAACCTGCTTCTCCCTCTCCTCCCTGCTCATGTTCTCTCTTGCTATCTCTCTCTCTCAAATAAATTAATAAAAATTTTTTTAAAGATTTTATTTATTTGACAGAGAGAGACACAGCGAGAGAGGGAACACAAGCAGTGGGAGTGGGGAAGGGAGAAGCAGGCTTCCCACCGAGCAGGGAGCCTGATGCAGGACTCGATCCTAGGACCCTGGGATCATGACCTGAGCCAAAGGCAGCCGCTTAACGACTGAGCCACCCAGGCGCCCCAATGAATAAAATTTTTTTAATAAATCTTTTATTAAAGATTTTATTTATTTATTTGAGAGAGGGAGAGAGTGCCCATGATCTACGGGGAGGGGTGGAGGGAGAGGGAGAAGCAGACTCCCCACTGAGCGGCGAGCCCATTGCGGGGCTAGATCCCAGGACCCTGGGATCATGACCTGAGCCAAAGGCAGACACTTAACCTACTGAGCCACCCAGGTGCCCCTCTATAAACTTCTTATTGAATTGACATCTATTATGAAAAATTGGTGATAACTACAGGTGGTTTTATGATAACCAATATTCCAACAGTATTATGTAGGTGCTAAAGATCATTATGAGGGTGCTATAAGAACATAGAGAAATATGTAATGAAATTTAAAGAATGCTGTGTAAAAATGGAATATCCACAATTATAATAATAATTATGTAATAGAATAGATACACGTAGGAAATATACAGTGAAAATGGCTGCAAGTTTATCAGGAGAGTAAGGAAAATAGGATTATGGCACCTGAATACTGTTATTTTAATTTTTTTGGTCTTTATAAAAACTTCAAAATATCAGATGGCTTGGGGGGTTCAATTGGCGGCTATCTCTAATTGAATCCATAGCCTTATGTGTGTATTGACAATATTTGGCTAGAGCCCAGTATACTGTAGTTATTTATCAGATTTCCTCTGGTCACTAGCTTGGATGATATTTTAGATAATGGTGGCTGACATTACTATATTCTTCTTCTTTTCAGTGATGAAAATGCCAGGAAAGATTTAAAGACCCTACCAGCCTTTCCAACCAAAACTCTTCAGGAGCATCCATCCCTTGCTTACTGGTAAGCCAAAGCAAGACAACAGGTGACCTTGATATCATAGCCTCCATTGAGAACTGCATGCTTTTCAAGAAATTAAATGAAATATGAGTGAAGAAAGTATCAAATAGCCCATCACATGCATCAGAGTGACTATAAGTAGACCTTGATCCTTTCCGTGAAAGGGTCTTGCCAAAGCTTACTGGAGATCATCGTACCATCGTAGTCATTTGTGAAGTGTGGCTATGTGCCTTCTCATTCACATGTGTTAAAGGTCTGTAGAGAGTGCTTTTAAGTAAACATGTGCAGTCGCTGTGTAATGTGGCCTTAATCTAGCAGAGTGTAATATACATGTTACAAAATACAGATTTCCTTGGATGGAGGTTTTCTTAATGACCAGAAATGACCTGACTGATCAGAGGTGTCTTCTGTGGCCAAAAATTGTTGTATATTTCAAGTCATTCTATTTGTTTATATTACAAAGAATCCATAGTACCCATTTTCCTTACAGCATTTTTCCTAGAAAAGTACTTATTTCCCCCTTTGAATTAGTTACATCCCCTTTAAATACAGTTTCCTTGATTTATGGCTCTGAATCCTGAAGATAGTTTTCCTTTCCACTGAAAAACTGATTACAAAATAAATATTCAACATGAATAGCTTTAATAGGAAAGATGAAATGCAGTTCCCAGAGAAAGAGCAAAAGTGAATCCTGAGACTACATTGCTTCCTGAGTCTGGAATCTTCCAAACAAATCATTGTTAAGTGATAGTTTCTTAAGAAAAAAAAAAACAAAGACCGTTTACCGCTGATTACTGGTTGTGTAGAGATAAAAACGTTTACCCTTCTAGGTTATACTTGAGATATGATGGGTCTCTGTAAGTAGGGTATACTAGCTGACATCAAAGGTGACAGACTTTAGCTTAGTTCTTGCCTTTCTAGTCAACAAGGTTGGCTTTTTTTTTAACTATTTTTTTTTTTTTACTAAGTAATCTCTACCCCCAGTGTGGGGCTTGAACTCATCACCTCAAGATCAAGAGTCACATGTTCTATTGACTGAGCCAGCCAGGTGCCCCTCTAGTCAACAAGTTTTATATTGGGACAATAACGAAGGGTTTTCTCTGAAAGCAGTGTGCCCCAGGTAGCGAGTGACAAGAGAGTATTTTGGATACTCAGACTCAGAACAGTTTTAATCCTTTCTAAATCTTTGTGGATAATTTAAGGAAAATGCCTTTAATAACTAACACATGCTGATCTCTTTTTTTTAAACCTTTTAATTTCCCTAGCAAGGCTCACTAATTAGTATTTATAATATTATTTTGTATTTTATATCCCATTCAATTATGGCAAAAAATACCAGTTTTTCATATGATAAATTGATATTATCTTTCCTTTTCCAATAAATTAAGTTTTTAAAAGTATTGATATATTTATTTATATATCATATAAAATATAAATTAAAAATCATGATAGGTAGCCAAATGTCTGACGTTCAAGAATCCATGTCCTATAGAAACTCAAGTCAGCCAGCTTCTATCTCCCAAACAAGTTGGTGAAGGTCTTTATTCTCAAGTTTCTCAACAAGCCAGCTGAGAATCTTTTTTTTTTTTTTAAAGATTTTATTTATTTATTTGAGAGAGAGAGAATGAGAGAGAACACATGAGGGGGAGGAGGGTCAGAGGGAGAAGCAGACTCCCTGCCGAGCAGGGAGCCCGATGTGGGACTCGATCCAGGGACTCCAGGATCATGACCTGAGCCAAAGGCAGTCACTTAACCAACTGAGCCACCCAGGCGCCCCAGCCAGCTGAGAATCTTGAAACTGAGTCTGTACCTCATATAATCGTAAATGCCGTATTTCTCATTTCCTTGTTTTACAGTGAGGACAGGGTAATTGAGCATTATTTGAAAATCAAAGGTCTGACTCGGGGTCAAGCTGTGGTTCAGTAAGTATCTGTCTTTCCTTTTGCTTAGATAGAATTTTAATGTCTTCTGTTTGAAGAAATCATTTGAAAATGATTTCTATTGTGTGGTTTGTGTGTATATTGTCGCCATCTGGTTAGAAAAGCCTTACTATGAATTATAAAATGCCTTGAATCATTCCATAGTTGGTGTTATTAATTCAGATATCTTCCAGTGTCAGGCAGGTAGCAAAACAGAAATGTAGGCCAGGTGTAGGACAATAGGGAATGGTGGGGACTGAGGTAAACTGGAGAGCTGTTGTCCTGAGTCGAGGCAAGGTGATTCAGTCTCAGAAATCGGGCCTAAAGCTATCAGACCTGATATTTCTGTGAAAAGCTGGAAATTCTGATTTTTAAAGTCCAATTTTAAACATTGCAAAGTAATTTTAAGAAAATTTTATTACAATGCAAGCCAAGCAAAACCTATCTGGAGGCCATGTTTGGTTGTGTGGTTTGCGACTCTACTTTGGGTAGAGCATACAGTGTTGGTGTTGGATAATCTATATCTGCATGCTACCAAGAACAGACCATAGTGACATATCTCTGCATTTTAGACTTACAGAGTTACCACCCATTTATTTATTTTTTTTAAGATTTATTAAAATCAGCGGGGAGCCCTGACGCAGGGCCCGATCCCAGGACCGTGAGATCATGACCTGAACCAAAACCAAGAGTCTGAGACTTAAGCGACTGAGCCATCCAGGCACCCCACCATCCATTTATTAATAATAGTTCACAAGCTACATTGAAGTTTTAAAATTATAAGAACTAAATTTATAATTTTATAATTTTATAATTTTAAAATTCTAAAAATGAATATAGCATTATTGCTCTAGTAATTGTAGAATAACTTTTATGGCCATCGAAGTTCTTTTAAAAACCCACTGAATATAGCTCAGAGCACGTGAGAACTGAAGTCAGGACTTAGAGACCGCATTTCCCCTGGTCAGTGTATAGATCTCCCTTACAACCTCTACCTCTTGCACTAATCGCCTTTTTATCACGGCACACCTTCTGTGGCCTTCAAGGCAGAAATCAAAAAGGAGCAGTCCTGAAGTTGAATCCTTGACATTTTAACTCATGGTGCCTGTTTTCTGGGGGGGGCGGCAGGGGGGAAGAAGAGTAACAATTTCCCTGAAGGATTTTAGGTTAGGCTAATGAGCATGTTATGAAGTGTCCTTGTTTATTTTTTTATTTATTTTTTTTATTTTTTTTAAAGATTTTATTTATTTATTTGATAGAGAGAGAGAGAGAGAACACAAGCAGGGGGAGTGGGAGAGGGAGAAGCAGGCTCCCCGCTGAGCAGGGAGCCCGATGCGGGGCTCGATCCCAGGACCCTGGGATCATGACCTGAGCCGAAGGCAGACGCTTAACGACTGAGCCACCCAGGCGCCCCGGGAAAGTCTTCTTCTTTTTTTTTTTTTTTTTTTTTTTTAAGATTTTATTTATTTGCGAGAGAGAGAGAATGAGAGACAGAGAGCATGAGAGGGAGGCGGGTCAGAGGGAGAAGCAGACTCCCTGCCAAGCAGGGAGCCCGATGCGGGACTCGATCCCGGGACTCCAGGATCATGACCTGAGCCGAAGGCAGTCGCTTAACCAACTGAGCCACCCAGGTGCCCCTGAAGTGTCCTTGTTTAAATGCAGAGTCCTTTTACTTCCCTTAATCATTAAGGGAATGGAGTTGTGGCCCCAAGTGAGAGACTAGCTTGGTGGTTAAGGCTCTAGACTGTGGAATCCATCTCACTTTGTTAGAATCTTGGGTGTGCAGTGTATTTGCTGCATGTTGCTGGCCCATTTACCTAACCTCTTATATTCATCTACATACAGGCCATTTACTTTGTAAAAAAGCATCCCAAATTATTGATTACAAAACCCAGAGCAATTGATATTCAAAATGTCATTAAAAAGCCCACTTGTACTAAACAGGAACCTCAATTCTTTGTGAGCAGAGAGGAAGTCTTACACAATTTATTCCACTCCATAAAGCCTTAGAAGTACACAATCAATACTTGTTGATTAGAAATAGTAAATGGAGAAATCATTGTTTTAATTTTTATTTGGGGGGTATATTTTTTAAAATCAGTTCGATATACAATAAAATTCATCCTTTTTAGGTACCTATTTCTTAGAGTTTAGACCTAAGAGTTAAGGTATATATTTCTAAGAGTTTACCACAATCAGTAAGTGGAATCACTTTATTTTTTTTTTGACAATTTATTTTTTTGACTATATGTATGTACGTATGTATGTAATTTCTAGGCCCAACATGGCATTCCCAACTCACAGTCCCAAGATCAAGAGCCATATGGTCTGCTGACTGAGCCAGCTAGTGCCCTACGATTGCTTTACTTTTTACTTGTTATGAGCATGACCCAAAAGTTGTTCTCATTGCTTTGCATTAAGTGCTTAGTTTAGTGCTTAGTTTTAAAAATACTTGCAATTTGGGTTTATGATACGGTCTAATATGTTTCTAAGACATAGAAATCTTAATATGCAGAAAATAACATTTCTTACAGCTTTTGGAAATTGAAGTTTTGTTAGCAACTTCCTAACATTTGGGTAAGGTAAAATATATTACTCCCTAGAATGGCTTATTCTATTTCTGCTTTAGTCAGAGGCATTATCCATGGTTGTAACGAGGAAAGTAGACACAAATTGTGTTTCTTTTCTTTTTTTTAAGATTTATTTATTTATTTGAGAGAGAGTGAGCGAGCAGGGGGAGGGGCAAAGAGAGATGGAGAGAGAACCTCAAGCAGACTCTCCGCTGAGTGCAGAGCCCTACGCAGGCTGGATCTCAGGATCCTGAGATCATGACCTGAGCCGAAATCAAGAATCGGACACTTAAGTGACTGAGCCACCCAGGCGCCCCACAAATCATATTTCTGTACATCACTTTTCCCAAAATGATCCTCTAATTTATTAAGAGATTATAATATATATTCATTTTTCATAGGTATATGAAAATAGTAGAAGCTCTACCCACGTACGGAGTCCATTATTATGCAGTAAAGGTAAATACTTTTGCATAACAAAGCTTTCATAATGCCCATGTTAGTTTGTGAGTTAGTGAACAGTACCAGCGTCTAAAATCACATAAATTAATATGCATATGTATGCAAATTATCTCTATAAATTTCAACATTTAAAATATGATTGATTTTCTTAAAAAAAAAAGCCTGATTATATCTTGTCATTTGTAGCAAATTATAATGCTCATTATTTTGTAAAATACTTGCTCCATTGAAATGTTTTCCCAAAACCTCTATTAATCCTAACATACTCAAATTATTCTCTTTTAGCACATCCATTCCTTTTACCTATTTTTGCTGCTATTTCTCTTCTCCAGTTGTTCACCTGCCTAATAGTGCCGGATACTCACTTGATAGAGCCTTTATATGAGAATCATAAACTTGCCATTGTCATTTCAGCAGATTCATAAAGTTCTCAAAATTTTGCAGGATTTGCGATAGCAATTTTCAATTGGTATGTTTCATATTTGTGTAGTATTTTCAGGTGTTTTCAAGCAGGGAGAGATTGATTAAGAATGAAGGGGGGGGAAATCAGAGGGAGAGATGAACCATGAGAGACTATGGACTCTGAAAAACAAACCGAGGGTTCTAGAGTGGAGGGGGGTGGGAAGATGTGTTAGCCTGGTGATGGGTATTAAAGAGGGCACGTTCTGCATGGAGCACTGGGTGTTATGCACAAACAATGAATCATGGAACACTACATCAAAAACTAATGATGTAATGTATGGTGATTAACATAACATAATAAAAAAAAAAGAACTATTTTGAGATGTAAGGGATAAAGGACCATTAAGAAGGGGGTCTTGTTTGAAAGGAATTTTATCATAGATCAATCTTGAGTGACTTTTCAAGTTACAACAGTATTTGCAATTCAAAATGGGGGATTAAATAACAAATACTTGCATAATGAGGATACCTTGTACTAAAAATATGTAGCAATTCAACTTCGGTTTCTCCTGATTCTTAATTTTTTTGCATATGGGTATATGTTTAAGTCTAAATTTTTCTTTCCCTATGTCACTACATCCTTCACTTTGGCAAGACCTAAAAGATAAATTTATGAAAAAAAATTCCTCTCCTCCCCATATGTACCTCAAAGTGATGATTCAAACATCCTGCCATTGAATCATACAGTTCTCCAGAAGAGCTTTTCAGTATTCCCACATTCATTGTTAAGTGGCTTATAAACATCAGGTTTGTAGCCACCTTTCTCATCTTTGTAATTCTTTGGAAACTTCCCTGACCATTGTAGCTGGTTACTGATTAAGAGAACAGAGAGCTTTTTTTCTTTTTCTTTTTAGTTTCTTTTCTTTTCTTTCTTTCTTTTTTTTTTAAATGGATAACTGGCTTTCCACTCGGGATTAATTTTACATTTTCTTTCTTTTCTCCAACAGTCAAGACAGTAATGGTTCATTCTTTTTGACGGCATTAATAGTATTGATCTAACTTACAGATCTTTTTTGAAGGCATTTTAATAGCAAGTTAGGTTTTTAAGTAATGTTTTGTTTACCAAGACAGCTTTATTGTGACTTGCTGATATTTGTTAAAAGATGAAATTGGTAAATCTTCACCTCTAGAAGACTGAACAATTAGGACTTGGTTCTCACGCTTTTCTATCTTCCAGGATAAACAAGGACTTCCTTGGTGGCTTGGAATCAGCTATAAAGGAATCGGCCAGTATGATTTGCAAGATAAAGTGAAACCTCGGAAAGTAAGTGTGAATCATTTCAGACACACAGGAGAACTTAAGCTATTCTGGATTTGGCAACATTGCTTTAATGGGCACCAGAATAGTCTCGTCTCGGACAAGTAACTTTCGTTAGTGAAGCTATGGGTTCAGAGAAGGCTCAGGTTAAGTGAAAAATGCTTTTTATAACTAATTTATGTACCTTTCATCCAGCAATTCCACATCTGATCATTTATTCTAAGGGAATCCAGTTATGCACAAAGACTTAACTGTAAGGATGTTGATCCCAACTTCATTTATAAATGCATACAATTAGATTTCTATTTTAAGGTCATATGAAGAGAAGGATGACATTTGTTTTCCAAGTTTTGTATATATCTATCTGTTGTATAGGCATAAAATATTTATTTATATACATAATTATATATAATGTTAATATATTTTTATATAAATTATACACACACACACACACATATATACATACATACATATACATACGTATGCTTACTGACATTGGATGGATACACAGGTGGATGAATTGTGAAGACGTAAGCCTGAGTATTGGGTGCTGGCTCCCTCTCAGTAATCCAGTCCAATCCAGTAATCCAAAAAACTGATCTTTTGACTACTGCTGCTATTTTCACTTATCTTTGGTTCACAGTTTTCCACACGAAACATGTCTGCTTTTTTCAAAAGAAAAATAAGTCCTGTGCTGTTTATTAAAGGTCACACTCTCTCAGGTTTGGGTGTTCCAGACCTAATAAACGACGTTATTTTCCATTTGAACTGTGGCCATGACACTTCTTCTCTTGATCCAAGCACAGGCGTATAATCCGTTTCTGCCCATATGAGAATGGATGAGTCCGCGTAGACAGCCACCCACCTGCCCTGGCCTAACTGTGTATTATAATGACACGAAGGCTTACTCATGCCGCCCCTGGTTGGTTTCGCCGCCCTCCCTGTGCTCTGCTGCCATCAGTGGGCGACACGGCAGTGAAACAGTGACCTATAATAGCAGACCATGTGTTATCACACCCCGACATTGAAGTCTTGAATTACTCCTATCATTTCCGTCTGTCTCGTGCTTTAATGTCTGTTTGAAAAACAGCCATATTCATCATAAACCGGCCTTTGTCATCATACCACAGTGTTCTTCATCTTCTTTGTGGTTTTTCAGCTTTTATCAATGCTCACAATCTTTCGTTGAGTTAAAATAATTAAGCTCCTCTTTTCTCCCCATTTTATGACTGTGAGGCTGACACAGACAACACAAAGGGGTGGCCCAGGGCTCACCCCCTTCTAATGCCAGTCCTGCCCTCCCGGAGCAGACTAGCTGGGCATTGAGGCTTCTTATTGGAAAATATTGATAAAAATAAAATATCAGGGCGCCTGGGTGGCTCCGTTGGTTAAGCGACTGCCTTCGGCTCAGGTCATGATCCTGGAGTCCCTGGATCGAGTCCCGCATCGGGCTCCCTGCTCGGCAGGGAGTCTGCTTCTCCCTCCGACCCTCCCCCCTCTCATGTGCTCTCTCTCATTCTCTCGCTCTCAAATAAATAAATAAAATCTTTAAAAATAATAATAATAATAAAATAAAATATCATTTCGTAACCTATATCCATCTGTGTGAGGGACAGGAAGACAGCATGTTTGTAATCCTATAACAGAATGGTGTCTCTATAAGCCCTGTGACTAAGATCAATTGAAGTAAGGTATACTTACTTAATTTCCAGGAAGAGTATGAATAATGTTGTTCATACTTGAAAATTGGCCTCTAAGACCAAATTTCAAATAAATAATGTTAGAAATGATGGGCATGTGATTTTTTTCAAAATCATCTTCAAAATCATTTTTATTTATAGTTTTTTTTTTAAAGATTTTATTTATTCATTTGAGACACAGAGATAGAGAGAGAGAGAGAGCATGAGCAGGGAGAGAGGCAGAAGGAGAAGGAGAAGCAGGCTCCCTGCTGAGCCAGGAGCCCGATGTGGGGCTCGATCCCAGGACCCTGGGATCATGACCTGAGCCGAAGGCAGATGCTTAACCATCTGAGCCACACAGGCGCCCCTATTTATAGTTATTTTTTTAACCAAAACTTATACATAGCCATTGTAAAAACAACAACAACAACAAAAATACAAACTACAGAAACATGTCAGTTAGGGCGGGAAGTCCTTCTGCAATTCCCATCCCTTCCCCATGATAACCACAGTCAAGAGAATGATAACTGGTTCATTGAGACTTTGTCAGTGTATATCCTGAGCTTTCCAGAGAGAGAAATCTTTCTATGCACACGATTTCATCCCATGTCCTATTTCTCCAGGTTACTTTATAAACACATCTCTCTTCACTCGGTCTAAAGCTGCCCAGTGTCCAATATGTGGAAATACATACAAATACTGATTCGCTTTTGATGGACATTATGGTTGTTAACTGTGGGGGTCCATGGCGGGGAGAAGGAGCATAATGAATCCCAGTCAAGGCATATAACTAATCCCTAGTTTATCTATTTTATAATACCAAATCATTGCTTATCGTGTTTTCTTGAGGTGGACTTCAACCTATATTAACATTTTTTGGTAATTTATTTCTCTGCTGAATTTTACTTTAAGAAATAACATTCAGGAATCTCACTGGTTTCGCTGAATCTTGCATGTCATATATAACTTAAATCAACTCACAAGTCATCTCTTAGCGAATGTGGCTTCATGAAATTGAGAATCCTGCAGAATGTAAATGCATCTACTAAAAACAACCAGACTTTCTCCCAAAATAACGGTGAATCAGAATCTGCGCAGTAAATATTGCAGCGAATTTCCTCTCAGTTGCTTATGACTCATAGCCCCTTCTTTACATTCACAGTTTCATAGGAATTGGTCAATATTGTTTGACACTGATCACAATCAGGCTTGCTTGTTCAACCCAGAGTTGAGACAAGGATCAGAAGACACTTCCTTTTTTCGATTGGCAGAGTTTTCGCTTTCATTTTCAAGATGTGCCATTCAATTCAAAAAGGACCTAACGGGGCCATCTTGTTTACCACTGCCTTGTCTTCTCTATGTTGGTTACTTTTGCAGCCGTCCATTGTACCACTGTTTGCATCCTCCTTCTTCTGTTAAAACCCGACAATGGATTTTGCTTCCATCTGTTTATTTTTCCACGGCCAAACAACCTATGGGTTTAATTGGAGGGAGGATGTTCTACAAGTCACTGCCCTGGCCCAGTTGGTCCAAATGAAAGGGCCATAATTTAAAAGGCCGTGAGCACTGACTTGTAAAAAGGAGGATCATGCTTCAGCTGTTTGCATGACCTGGGCACACAGCAAGTTACCAGTGGCCAAGCAGGAATGAAGGTCAAGATTGGCAAACCCTGAAACAAAGGCTGGAATGGGAGGCCTTGGAGATGCTCAGCCTCTTGAGCTGCTTGTTACACATGCCTGCTGAGTTATAAAATTATGTAACTTGAAAACAGGCCAGAAGGGGCAAGATTTGCCAATAATAAGAGAGACTGACTAATGCCAAAGCCTATTTTGAAAAAAATGTTTGTCCGAGACCCACAAGCTGAAGTTTTCTGTCCTTTCCATACAATGTCTATTAGTTGTAGCCTAGGAATGTTGGGGACTGTGTTTCTCGTACCTGCTAGAACACCCAGGAAGTATTCTTCATGTATTTTGGCTCTAAGGCTTTTGCCAGTCATGGGGGAAAGTTTTCCATCTGTGTAGCATAATGATGCAGAGCAAGAATTTGGGAAGCAACCCATGGCCTGTCTTTGGTGTCTGGTGTCTGTTTGTTCTGTGACCTTGGGCATGTTTTTTTAATCTCTCTTTAAACTCAGTGTCTTCATCTGCACCACGGTAATACAACTGACAACATAGGGTGTTTGTAAGCATTACATGAGATTATATTCAGCATACACAGTCATCACTACGCAACTGGTTGTTGTTCGTTGGTAGTGACAGAGAAAGACAATTTAAAAAGATGAGAAATAGGCTTGGTTAGAGAAGGACCCAACATTGCTACAGACTTGTAGCCCTAGCGTTCTAAGAGTCCACACTCAGATCTTCTGTTTTCAGAGACTCTTAAGCACTCTGTGCCAATTTATTAACTGTAATGCCCTGAGGCATGATGCAAATTAAGAGAATTTTAAAATTCTGAGTAACAAACCACAAAAATTCAGGGTCTTAAAAATTCAGATCACAAGCAGTTTTTTTTTCTTTTTAATTCTCCCTTTATGCATGAAATATGTCATTGCAAACTCTTATGGAATGTGAAAACATACCAGAACTGAACTTAATTTCAAATCGTAGGACATTTGAACTTAAAAACAGTGAAGTTTTACATTTAAAACAAAAATGCAAGCTTGTGTTCCCTAGCTTTTTATTGCTCGTTCAGTATTTCAAGGAAAAATGTCATTTCTTCACAAAGAGGTAGAGTGGGCCAGTGGCTAAGTGAAGTATTGATAGATGTCATGACTGATTTGTAGTCCTCCAGCAAGTTATTTGACCTGGGAAAACCAGACCCTGTCAGAGATGGGAGAAATAAAAAAGTCATGCCGGCCAGGGTGTCACCAGCAGACCTTGGTGGGATAAAATGCCTTTCAAGATTAGTATCTTTGTGCATTATAACTGCTAACCAAGTCTTGTGATGTGCATCATCACCCCGGGGCATTTCAGGGTGGGGAAAGAGTTCTTAGCCTTCTGTTAACTGATTTTTTTTTAAACTATTGGAATTCCCAAATGCCTAGAGCCAGATGAATTAAGTCACAAGCACAGGAGTCTTCCTGTTTCCTTGTAATGAAAGTACAGGGTTCATTTCATTTAAACTCGGGGACTTGCTTACTTTTCTAATAAGCACAGCCATCTTGACATTTCTCGCCACTCCTGGTTTTTCCACCACCTGCTGCCGCCTCACCAGGGAGCTCGATGGGGCTGCTCCTTCTAACACTGCTTAAGTTCTGGATGAGCTTAGCTGCAGGAGAAGAAGGAACATGTGCTGTCCAGTCACACCTTCTTCGTCAGTACATAATAA